AAATAAGTACAAATCTTATATTGAATTAGCTACATTAATTGCTGAATTAATTTTTAAATTCTGATCTCCATTGGTAGCTTGATTAGATAAGAAGTTAGTGATTATTATAAAACTATTTGATTTTCAACAGTTTTGATGATAATACTGTTAGCCATGCACGAAATCTGGGAGTGTTAACGTAACTAAAACCTTATGAAAGCCAAAGTAATAGTTCTTTTTCACTGTCTTAGTTGATTATAGAAAATGAGACAGTTAAAACAGGTCGATAAAAAATATTTTATGTTGGAACTGGAATTGCAAAAAAATGATTGTTTGTTTGTTTGAATTTCGCGCAAAGCTACACGAGGGCTATCTGCGCTAGCCACCCCTAATTTAGCAGTGTAAGAAGGAAGGCGGCTACTCATCACCTCCCACTGCCAACTCTTGGGATACTCTTCTACCCCGAATAGTGGGATTGATCGTCACATTATAATGCCCCCCACAGCTGAAAGGGCGAGCATGTTTGGTGGGACGAGGATTCGAACCAGCGACTTGCAGATTCCGAGTCGAGAGCCCTGAAAAAAAATTAAACCATCTATAAATTTAAGTTTTGTTCCTTAAAATATTCAGAAACCAGGAATATCATCTGGGATTTTATTGGGAAGGGGGGGATTTTAATCAGTAAACTCAGTTTTGTTCTTTTGAAGCCAATTGGGGTTTCGCTAGAGAGGAGGGAGCTCTTCACACTAAGTTAGTAAAATTCACTAACTTTTTATCTGCCTGGAATTCATAAACACTCTATAATTGTATTTTCTATTAATAAATATATTACCATATTAGAAATATTTGTTTCAAGTAATTAGTTTTGTAGTATGGAAACGGAATAGGCCCTCCCAGTGGCACAGCGGCATGTCTGCGGATTTATATCGCTAGAAACCGGGTTTTGATACCTGTTGTGGGCAGAGCACAGATGTCCGTTCACTACAAACAAATAAATTGTGAAATAGCGAAGTATCCATGCTGATGACTTACAGTGAAAGTTTTTTAAAATAACGTAAAATGTACCTTGTTTTTATATCGCTAAACCCAATGTCACAGTGGTATGTCTGCGAACTTATACTGCTAGAAACTGGGTTTCGATACCTGTGGTGAGCAGAGCACAGATAGTCATTTTTGTAGCTTTATGCTCAATAACAAACAAGTCATTAAAATGAAAGGTTTTTGGATAATTATGATATTTTTTTTCATGTATTCAGAGAAGTTATTTCAAAGAGGTTTTAGTGATTACGCAGGTGAGTGAAAAATAGTTTGCAACAACATTGCAGTTTTGTTGACTAAATGTCAATAGCTACTCAAAGGGAAAAATATCAAAGAGTTTAAAGAAATAAAGTTATGCGGCAATAAAGAGTATTTGTTAAAGATGAATGACGAGAAAAAAACACATTAAACCTACCTTTTATTCTTAAACAGCCTTCATCACGGATTGGCCAAGTACATTTCTGCACCTGCAAACCCTGATAAAGGTTGTTTAAAACTTGAAGCTAGCTTTAATTTTTTCCTTTTATCTTTTATTTTTACCATATATATATATATTTTTATTGGCACAGTATTCAAAATATCCATAAAGTTTTCTAAAAGTAGAATTGCCAGCCCTACTTTTAGAACACTTGAAAAAAAAACAGTGGCAGCAAATCCTCATGAGTAAATAAACTGTTCTGTAATGATATATTGTATGTCTTGGATGAGCTGGCCATGTGCTTAGGTTTGTTGTCCTAGGTGATGACCTGAAAAATTATGTACCTGAAACTACAGAAGCAACTCAGTAGGAATTTGAATGTGCTGGAAGGTTCCATCAGACTATTTCAATAGACGACGTTAGAATAGTTATTCAGTGTCACTTAATTTTATCGGATATAGAAAAGTTGTTTAATGTTGATGTTCATTGGTTGACCTCTTACGTGACCACTCACAAGAAAAGGAATGGAAGTTTAATTTGTTTTTTTTGGTGCACGTAATTTATTGAAAA